GTGAAGTACCCTTCTCACCACATCATATGAGGGGGCACACGAGATCTGTATGATGCCACTAGTGATAGTAACCTTCATCACTTAATTAGCGTTGTATTTGTCAGCCGTCTCCACTCTGAAGTTACTCATTTTCCCTTTTTATACTCTATTCTTTGGAGGAAAGTCACTACATCTAGCCCACTCTAAAGAGGAGAGAGGGAGTATCTACATATGTTAGGTGGAATTCTTCTACAAGAAGGTTTTAGATGAGGTTCTTTTTTTTTTTTTTTTTTTGAGACAGAGTCTCACTTTATGGCCCTTAGTAGAGTGCCTTGGCATCACAGCTCACAGCAACCTCCAGCTCCTGGGCTTAGGCAATTCTCTTGCCTTAGCCTCCCGAGTAGCTAGGACTACAGGCGCCCGCCACAACACCTGGCTATTTTTTTTGCAGTTTAGCCAGGGCCAGGTTCGAACCTGCCACCTGCGGTATATGGGGCTGGCGCCCTACCCACTGAGCCACAGGCACCGCCCCATTGGATGAGGTTCTTAAGTTGAAGAGCATGGTAGACCAAGCACTTTCCTCTGTTTGGCTCTTTACCAGGCATCTTTGTGCAACATCTGCCATTCTGTCCATCCAGAGTGCATTTTCTGTTTGTTTACCACTGGTCTTTTCCCAGAAAGTTATTTCAGGTAGATTATGGAAATAAATGTAACCCATAGAATAAAAATGTGACTAGACAGGGGAAATTCACAAAAAGAAAAAATAAGATAGGACATAATAGGAGACATTGTAATGTGCTAAAATCAGCTCTCAACTTCCTCATAGCCAAAGAAAAATAGGAGTAGTTTTTGGCCAAAGCTGGCCAAAATGTCTGCTCCAAGATTCAGAGTGGTTATAAGATAAAGACAAACCAATTCCCTGAGAAAAGTGTATTTTTCCTCAAAAATAGTAGTTTTGGGCCAAAGCTGGCCAAAATGTCTGCTCCAAGATTCAGAGTGGTCATAAGATAAAGACAAACCAATTCCCTGAGAAAAGTGTATTTTTTCTTGGTAGTAATATATGAGAAAAATACCTTTTTTTGTGCAGCCTCTTGAAAGACATTGTGGGATAACAGAGCAGGGGTCAGGCAACTATGGAGCAAATCTGGCCCACCGTCTGCTTTTATAAATAAAGTTTTATTGGAACCCAGCCATGCCCATTCATTTACATGTTGTCAAGGGCTGCTTTCCTGCTTTCTCCTGCAGAGTTGAGTAGTTGTGACAAGGACCATATGGCCTGCAAAGCCTAAAATATGTACTCTCTGGTCCCTTATAGAAAATGTTTGCCGGCTCGGCGCCTATAGCTCAGCTGGCTAAGGCGCCAGCCACGTACACCTAAGGTGGCGGGTTC